TCAACGACAACAAATAATAAACCGTCACCTCAGTCTGTGAACACTTCTTGTTTCCAGCTTGACCTTGATTTTGTCATGACTGAAATGACGAAGGTCAAAACAAAGAAGTCGTTGGACCTGACGTTATTCATCCTTTGATTGTGAAGGAGTGTGCTCCAACGCTTGCTAGCCCGTTGACTAAGATCTTCAATGAGTCGCTTTCATCTGGCATTTTTCCCGACGAATGGAAACGATCGAGAGTGGATTTTTGTTAATTATATAAGATTTCTCATTGCTTTGGATGAAAAATGAAAGTTTTTCTATTTTGGTCAATATTTACATGTAGTTTCACCATTTTTGAGAAAAAAATATTTCTGCTCGCACAGCAAAAAGAAATCTCACGTAATTTGCAAAAATCCACTTGTGGCAGATATTTTGGATTGTGTACGAGCCATTTTGAGTAATTTCCAAACAATTGCATACACAGTAGTTTTTCTTCAGTTTTTATAAAAATAATCCCATTTTTTGTCGAAAAATGACATTTTTTCTATCGTACCCAAACTTCTGATCGGCACTGTACATATAGACAGCTTCACAACTATTTTTAAATTTCAATGAATGTACACACGAAAAAAAGTACCTAAAATCTGGGATACATAAAACAGAAAAAAATTCTGTCACTGTCGCATTTTGCACCAACGCAACCTTTATCTATGGGTGACATTGAGAGTATTGTATGTTTCACAGACTTTATATTGAAAAAAGTATTTGTATTTGTATTTGTATTTGTGTGAGTAAGTTAGAGTAGGTTTTCAAGCAGTGAGCAAATTTTCTAATAATTCATTTATTTCAACTGATTAACGATCATTGTCTTTTGCAAAGTTGTACAGTTTGACAAGACCAACAATTGAGTTTATCCAAATTTGTACACATATTGGCTAGAAAATGAAATGGGGTGAAGTTGGTGCTCTATATATATGAAGTGGAATTTTGCATGCAATTATCCCTTTACGTACATGTTTCGAATTTATTTTATATCAGAAAAAAATAGTAATAAGAAACAAATTGTATGTAAAATCTATTGGTGAGACGTAAAAGAACGCAAGTTTGACCAACTTCGTAGCATCAAAGAGAAGTATGTTTGATGGCAACTAAAAATGGTTAAAAGAGTGTATGTATTTTGAATGGTAGCGTTAGCGAAAAAAGAATGCATGTTGTTCTATCTATTCAGTTAATAATAAAGAGAAGCATGTTCTCATACATTTATATTGTCAAAAAAGAAAGTATTTTGGCTAAAATATCGAAGTGGACAGGAGAAGAATCGAGTGGACAGGAGAAGCGTGTTTCATCGAGCGCGCATGCGCACTCTGAGAGTATTGTGCGCCTGTTACTCTACTCGATTCATTCACTGCAACGGCACGACTGGTGTGTGACAATAAATATATTGGTCGTTCGCAGGCCGCGCTAGCGTCCTATCTAAATACATTATAATGAATAAGTAC